ATGTAAAAAATGCTCTGAGAATTTTTTTTCATGTTTCCTGAGACTTCAAAAAAGTACTGACAGCATTAGAATGATTAGCACTCATATATGTTATTTACATCACTCAAAGGCATTTCAGAGAACACCAATGTGGTTGCATGGTCCTTTAATAATGTTTTTTATTATTATTAGTGAACACTGTTGGGCACCGCATTACAAGTAACGCGAGTGACATAAGCAAATTAGATTTTTTCAAGTAACTATTAAAATATGGCATTACTTTTAAGTTTTCGAAAAATTACTTTGTTCTCCCATTTAATGACTGACAGCTCTCCTGTCCCCACGTTAAGAGAAGTACAGAGGCGTTGTGTGTGCTGTGTAAACATGATGCTTACTGTAGTTCTACACTAAACGTGAACATGCATTTACTCATCTCACTTGCACAAAAACAGATTCAGTATTTCTAAAAACAAGTTAAAACAGTGAAATGCAAACACAGAATGATGCAAACCTGCAATAATAAATTAAATAACAAAAGTCTTTTATGTATTTAATCCCATTTTATTAACCAATGTCTTTGCTGCTGACCTTCGATGATCCAATTCAACCATACTAATAAGCAAAAATGAATTTAGACATAACATTTGTGTTTCATTTTTTTTTTTATTGCTGATGAGTGTTGAACTTTCTTTAAACTTTTTTTAACTTTCTTATTTAAAAAGTAATGCAAAAGTAATGTAACGCATTACTTTCCATAAAAGGTAAATGTTACTTTTTTTAGGCAGTAACGCAATATTCTAATGCATTACTTTTAAAAGTACCTTTCCCCAACACTGTCAGTGAAATACTAAAAGATAGCCAAACCTATTTTCTTATTTTAAACGTGATTAAAAAAAACACAGCATAGGCTATTGGTAGATAAAAACCACAGCAATCATTTAATGAATGAAAACGTACAATGACAAATTCATACAAGCACCAAAAACAGTTCATTTTGATGATTTGTTCAATATTCTGATCGATCACAGCAGCTGGACGACCTGTTTGGCTCTCTGTTTTTTCTTTTCAGCATCCGCTGTGTCTTCCTCTTCTCTTTGTCCTTCCCAGCGCACAATGGCTTCAGCTTTCTGCAATGTGATGCCTCGCGACGCTCCGCGCAGACCTTCAAGGTACGTTAGCAACCCTTTGAAATGATCATCAGTCACCTGAAATAGAGAGAGAAATGCATGCATATGCAGTGAAAACAGTTGAAATTGATAATGAAAAAAGTACTTTTTTGGTTAAAAAAAAAAGAAAAGAAAAAAAAAGAAACCATATGCATGATTTAAAACACAAAATCATTACTACTGTGTATTATTACTGTGATAAGTGTGGAAAGCTGTAGAGATCAATGATGATTGTGAAGTTTCTTGTACCTTTGTGGTGTCATACATGTGCTGCAGTAACCATATTTGCCTGCTTTTGTGAAACTTCCACTCTTCCCGTCTCTCAGACCAGCTAAACAAGCACACAAACATGAAGTAAACCCATTAAAACACTGTTTGACAACCTCTGGTAGAATTGGGAAAGACATACATGCATAAAAATAACTATGTTTGTCTTGCCATGTGAGGTATTCCAGCGCCTTCTTCTCTGCAAGATTTGACTGGACTTTGTCTTTTTTTATGCTTTTGCCTTCTTCCTTCAATTTCTTCTTCTCCTCCTTTTTCAGAATCTTCTTCATCTTTCTCTCCAGCACTCGTTTCTCCTCAGGACTCAGATCTTCCTCACCATCTGAGCCGTTTTCATCCTCTGCTCCAGATGATTCCTGCTGCTGTGAGGTGTCCATATCTCCAGTACTCTAAGACAGAAAATCATACGTTACTTAATATTTGCATTCCCCCCTCCCCCAGGATTCAATGAATAAAAAGTTTTAATGAACTTTTTATTAGAAATACAAATCTTTTGCAACATTTTAAATGTCTTTGCTGTCACTTTTGATCAATTTAATGTGCCCTTCTAAAATAAAAGTACTAATTTCTTGAAAATAAATAAAGAAATCTTTCCCTCTGAACATCACACACACAAATACACGCATTCTCCTTCACTATGAAACTCTATATCTTCCGTCTGTCTGATTTTCCAGCCAGCAGAGGAGGTAATGGAGCATTTCTCCATCATATTGTTTGGAGTAAACAGAGGTGGCCATTGTATGTATCTGTTTGGCACAACCTGGCCCTCCTGTATTTACGTATTTGTACATGAGACAGCGAGACTTCAGCAGAAGAGACGTCTGCTTCATTAGTATGGCCGAAAGGAGAAAGAAAATAATATCTACAAATCAAAGACTTCTACATTTATTTCTTAATGACCTTTAAGGACCTAAAAGTGCAAACGAGGAGGACAACGTAATACACACAGATAAACTTGGACAATACAATAAGCAAGGTAAGATCTTTATTTTGAATGCTTCATTGCAAACTATCAGAAAATCCCATTGTAAAATAAAATCTGCAAGATTTAATGGTAAAAAAATAACGGCAAATATAATTTTACAATAAAAATTTTTTGAAATTTAGGTTAACAGTCAAAAAAAAAAAAAAAGAATATATCAGTAACTGATATAATGGTAATATACCAACCTACTGAAGTACTAAAATCTGTAAAAACGTTTTGTACAAACTAAGAAGAAACATTTTTTTTTATGAAAATCCATCAAATGTGAAGAACCACACAGGAAATTATGGGAATGTCAATTTACATTTTTTCACTGTAAATTTTAAAGGTGACATATCATGAAAATCTGACTTTTCCAGGTTTTAAGTGCTATAATCAGGTCCCCGGTGCATCTACCAACCAAGGAAACGTGAAAAAGATTAACCCAGTAATTTTGTTTTGGTAAGCCTTTTTCTGCAAGCGTCTGAGAAAACGAGCGCGTCTGATTTCGCTCCCTTGGTGACGTGGCAAAGGGATCTCATTATAATATTACCGCCCCTTAATCTGTAAGTTTCCACCCATGGCGCCGTCATTTTGATTTCGCAAGCGACAACGGTGTGCCAGCTCTAATGCCATGGCGAAAGTTTGAGCAGAACATGCTAACTGTTCTGTCTTTGGCTGCACAGACGAGCACAGAACACTATTTACAGTCCCAGCCTCAGAGGAGACAAGAGAGCAGTGGATTTATTGATTTATTTACTGTATATTGCTGCTGCCACACAGATCTAAAATAAACATGCAATTTATTTCCCAGCTGTTTACCTTCACAGACATAACCAACTGTTTTTGTAACTCCTGTGTTTTTAATGTAAACTTGTGTGAGAATGAGAACTTAGTTTAGTACTCGCATGCTGTGACAGCCGCTTTCTGTCCGTGTGCTTCGGTTGTGTGTGCTCCGAAAACCGTATATCAGAAGTTTAAACTAATATGGTTTAAAACTCATGATTTCAGCGCGATAAACATAATCAGAACCATAACCGATGTTTTTAGCAGGTCTGAGCTGTAATGGCGCAGCTCTATTCTGGAAAAGGGGGCGGGGAGCAGCAGCTCATTTGCATTTAAAGAGACAGGCCAGAAAAACAGCCTGTTTCTGCTTCCACTCAAAATAGGCATTTTCAAAATGATATAATAAATGATCTGTGGAGTATTTTGAGCTGAAACTTCACAGACACGTTCTGGGGATACCAGAGACTTATATTACATATTGTAAAAAGGGGCATAATATGTCTCCTTTAGGATGACTTGATAAGATGACAGTATTTTATTGTAAAATTACATGAAATGTCCTAGATAGGTCTTGTAGGGCTGGCGTCCTGCAGAGTTTCGCTCCAACCAGCTCCAAAACACCTGCCTGGAAGTTTCTAGTAATCCTGAAGACCTTGATAAGCTGGTTCAGGTGTGTTTAACTAGGGTTGGAGGGAGCTAAACTCTTCAGAGCAGTGGCCCTCCAGGAATTGAATTGGACACCCCAAGGGAACTTAACTACCAGTTAACCAATTAACAGGTTTTTACTGTAGCATTTTTACAGTGTTTCACCAGTAAAATTACAATGACTTTAGAGCAAGCTTTGAGATTCTCACTGAAACATGCATCTTTCTGTTTTTTTAGTACTTTCGAAAAGACAACAAAATGCAGAAAACGGCATATTTCCAAGCAATGTGACAACGGAAGTAATAGAGGGGAAGACGATGGAAGATCCGCTGACTTTCCGACCGAATTCCTCCAGCCTGCACTGGTCCGTTAATAACGCCAACGAAACGAACTCCACCTCCTCGGACGCCTACGTCATAAGCCTCCTCCTCTCCTGCATCTACACCATCCTGCTCTTCCCGCTCGGCCTCATGGGTAACATCCTGATCCTGTTGGTGAACTTTGACCCTTGGCAGCGGATGAGCACGCTGGACCTGTACTTTACTAATTTGGCCCTGGCCGACCTAGTGTTGGTTCTGGACTCACTAATTGAAGTGTTCAACCTGAGCACGCACTATTACGACGATGCGGTCTTGTGCTCATGCATGGCGATTTTCCTACAGATCAACATGTACAGCAGCGTGTTTTCCCTCACATGGATGAGTTTGGACCGCTGCCTTGCACTGACCGGCCTAAGAACGCGAGCGCTACCTGAAAACGCCTCCATTTCACATCGTTCATGTGTTGCACGCAGGGCCTGCGCTACCATATGGGCGGCGGCCACCTTGTGCACTCTGATTCCATTCGCTACTGCGCATGTGCATCACGGATGGGGGCGTGGCTTCTGTTTTGCGGGCGTGGCTGAGGTGCAATGGCTGGAAGTGACGTTGGGATTCGCTTTGCCGTTTTGTGTGATGGGCGTCTGCTACACTTTAATCGCGCGTTTGCTTTTGCGCTCTGAACGGCCGCAGCGAACAAAAGCCCTGCACATGATCATCGCAGCCGTGAGCGTGTTTTTTGTATGCTGGCTGCCAGAGAACATCTTCATCAGCGTGCATCTTTTGAACGGTGACACGGATGCCTCACGGCGACGTGGAAACCATACTCTGTGGCAGCGCTACCCGCTCACGGGACACGTTGTGACCTTAGCGGCCTGCGCCAACAGCTGCCTGAACCCACTCGTCTATAGCCTGCTGGGAAACACCTTTAGACGGAAACTGCAGGTGTTTGTCGCGCACCACGTGCCGTGCCTGCATACGCAGAACGCAAGAGCAACACCTCCCTGTCCGTGCGTAACATGCACAAATGCGCACCATTCGTGTAATAAGGAAGAGGAAGAACGTGACCTTAGAAGCGGCGAGGAGGGTTAAGAGTGTGTGTGTGACAGAGTGGGATAAACATGGTCATGTTGTAATGGCACAGGACAAGTTCTTTTGTTTTTTGAAGAAATTAACACTTTTATTCTGTAAGAATGCATTAAATTGATCAAAAGTGACAGTAAAGATAATTTAAAAGGAACTTTCTATTTATCAAGGAATCCTGACAAAAATCAAAAATCATGGATTCTGCAAAGATACTGTTTTCAACATTGATAATAATCAGAAATGTTTCTTGAGCAGCAAATCAGCATATTAGAATAATTTCTGAAGGATCATGTGACACTGAAGACTGGAGTAATGATGCTGAAAATTCAGCTTTGCATCACAGGAATAAATTACATTTTAATATATATTCAAATAGAAATCAGTTGTTTTAAATTGTGATAATATTTCACAATATTACCATTTTACTGTAAGGGAAGAAAGCTGATTATTTTGACTCACCTCAGCTTTACTTTTCTTTTTCATCATCGCTTTCTTTTTTGCTCTCCCTGTAGCAGCAAGTGTGTTTGTTTCATCGTTCTGTGGCGTCACCAGATCCGATTCAGGAACAGCTGCTTTGGAGTCCTGCAAATTCAAAATAGGAATTTAAAAAAACCACTCTCTTTGCACTCAACTTGACGACAACATCAAAACACAGCAGCTTTAAAATTGTTAGAATAATCAGAATCAGAAAGAGCTTTATTGCCAAGCATGTTTGCACATACAAGGAATTTGTTATAGTGTCACAAGCTTCCAGTACACGGAGACAACAACAACACACAGATAATAAAAATGAGATGTGAATAAAATACACATGCATAAATATAAACCACAAAAAAAGAATAAATTGTATGTACAGGTGTGCTATAGATGGAATAGGAATAGAATAAAATAAAATAAGTTGTAGGGATGTACTAGGACAATGGTCCAGTATATTACTGTCTCTGGTGGGACATGTAACATGTAAATTTTATAATTTAAAATTCTTGATTTTATCCACTGAAAGAAAGAATATTTTAATACTATGAATCCTTTTATTCAGCAAGGATGCATTAGATTGATCAAAACTGACAGTACAGACATTCAGAATGTTGCAAAAGATTTCCATTTCAAATAAATGCTGTTCTTTTGAACTTTAAAAAAAAAAAAAAACTGAAAAATCATGGTTTCCACAAAAATATGAACTGTTTTCAACATTGAAAATAATAAGAAATGTTTCTGATTTGGGAGCAACTGCTTTAGAGTCCTGTAAAGCCAAAATAAGAATTAAAACACACTTTTTGCATTCTACAAATGAGGTCACAGCTGAACAGATCTACAAGTGGACATAAACACTGTTGCCTGAGCAGATTATGAGTCACTCTTGATTTTATAGAACAATAATGATATATGTGACATAACAGTATATTGCTAGTGACATACTGACTTTTTTTTTCACCAGGAAGACAAGCTATTCAAAAGTTACATGTTATTGAAACATTATGCATGTGTTATTATTATAATAAATGTATGTCTGCCGGGCATCACACACCTCATCATTAGCCTTTCTCTTTTTGCCTTTCTTTGGCTTTTTTCTCTCATCTTGTACATGCGTCATTTCATCCAGACTGCGTTTGAGCTCCTTTTTCCGTCTACAAGACCAAGTTTCTTCACTTTCTCAGCAATTCTAGAAGAAAACAGCACAAGTGTTAGTTATTGAAAGCAATTCGTGTTTTTATTCAGCGAGGCCGCATTGAATTAATCAAAAGTGACAGTAAAGACGTTTATAATAATAATGTCACAAACGTTTTCTGTTCGGTTCTACAAAATAAATGCTCTTTTGAGCTTTCTGTTAATTTCCACTGAACATTAATAACAATGAAAAGCAAATCAGCATATTAGATTGATTTCTGAAGGATCACGTGAACATAAGAGACTTCTTTCAAAAACAAATGTAATTTATTTAAACGTATAATATAGCAGCAGAGATGTAGTCATGCACTACCCAGCACACACACACATTAATTAATATTACTAGTTAAGGAGAGTCATCATAATTGCGCATTTGCGTTTATAGATGTAAGTTATAAAGATGACTTACCTAAAAAACTATAAAGATGACTTGCAAGGGAAACAAAGATCTTCCAATATTTCCTTATAACCACGTGCGGACAAACAGCGCCATAGAATAGCGACCAGGTTTGATGACGTTGCTATGGCTGTGTAAAATCTGCATCCCTGATTGGTTGGTAATTAGACTTTTGGGACATGTAGTTCTTAAATGTATTATCGCGTAATCTTAGAATAAGATTCTCGCTTCATACGATGACATTTTAACAACAT